CACATATCCTACTAGCAGCAAGAGTTATAATAAAAGTCCACTAACAAACAATAACAGGAATATATTCAAAGCTGCATGAAACCACACAAACCAAATCACCTTTGTAGGAATTTTACTGCTACTTGTGAAGACTAAAAGTAACTGCTCTAGATTAATAAGCTTTTTGTTAAACATTTTTAAGAAAGTGATCTCCAAAGAACTATTTTAAGAGTATCTAATAACTAAATGCTTTAGGCAGCAAGAGCAAAAAGTGGTAATATTATGTCTATCAGCAGGGCATCTATCATCAGCATCTATCATTGAATGTCTAGGATGAAGAAAACAACCACAATGACCTGAGAAATGGTAAGTTAAGGCATCTGGTCAACTATGAAACCAAATGTCCAGTGCTTCTTCAGGTGATGAAACAGAAAGGGATTGATTGGGTTCTCAATTTTTTCTTTAATCTGTTTTGCCATTTTATTGGCTAAGTGAAGCAAATAGACTTTATAGACTAAGGGAAATTTTCATACAGAGGCATCAGATCAAACCTTTACTGATTGGAGGACGTGAACTGAAAGGAGAAATACTTTTACTGACTGTAAGTGTTGGACTAGAGAAGTAGTTTCTAAGTCTAAGCAGTGGAGGCTTTTTCTCGGCAATCTGGATCCACTGCAGCTTGCGGACTACAAATACAACTATTTACCTCTTTCCTCTAGAGCAAACGATGATGAATTCTGCCCCTGCTGCACTTTGCAGATCAACTCCAAAGCAAAGTCTAATTAGAAGCACACTTTAACAGTCAACTCTGGATATGATTTAAACTCTGTGTTACATTGAGAGCTTAGAAACTCAAATAAACAGCATGCCAGCTGTAAATCAAGGTGTACTTTCTCTCTTAATGAAAGATTTAATTTATTAATGCCCAAAGCAGACCACTAAGACAGACTATTCTGTTTATGAAATACCACAAAGACAATTTTAAAACATTATAGCTACATGCTGCCCTTTACTGACCCGAGCAGTTGGCTGAAGCTCAAGGTCTTGCTGATTACTTTGGTCGGGAGAAGAAATCAATGGAAGAGCTGTCTCCTTTAGCCATAAACCTCAATGTCCACTATATCACCTAAAATCGTTTCCCTCAAGCACAGAAGTACTTGAACATAGACTCGGAGAGAAAGAGAAAGGAGTGTAAGTACCAGAAAAACATGCCTTAAACAGTAAGTTACTGGTAAGGGGTTTTTCCACTGTCTTCATTTGTTTGTGCACATATACATATATTCACGTGAGTAACTTCAAGCATTACTTTTTTCTCTGCATGGGAAAAGAGAAGGCCAAAATGTGACATCATGAGAGGGAGAGGTGGATTCTCTGTTTCACGTTTTCAGGATTAAAAAAAAGTTATTCTATGATAACTATATCGCAGCCACCTGGGCTGTTGGATGCGGAGCATGCTGGTTTGCAGCAGTTGTTAACTTGTCTGGGTGACTTGATTCAGGATAGTGACAGTTACAGAGTACTGACAGGTTGAGCAAGTAAGGTGAGGATAACACGTGGTACGCCTCTTCACTGTCAGCTGATGAATTCTTCCTGTACAGCTCCCAACTTGTAGAGCTCTTGAACTATAGGAAATGCTCAGGTCATAGCACCAAGATAGTCTGGTCCTTCAATGGCATCTCCTCACGGAGACATGCAGAATGTCTGCATGGTGATGAATGTGGTCAAAAACCTGCTCACTTCGTTTGGGCCAGCTGCGTTCAGTGTTGTCTATAGGGGCACCAGCAAGACGGAAACAGTGTCCATAAGCAGAGTATTAATTTCTTTTTGTAGAAGAGGAGGGAAGTTCTGAGGTAAAAAACCCCATAACTGGTGATTGTATTCAGAGATACTCAAGAGCTGAATAGATTACTGCTCTTAATGTTAAAAGAGATTGTTTGATAACTGCCTCCAGATGCTTCTTCCATCACTGAAGAAGGCATGACTGTTTACATTCTAAAATTTTCCAAAATAGGAAAAACTTTTAGGAAGTGGGCAGATATTGGTATCTGTAACATTTGGCCAACTGTTCTTTCTACCATTAAAAATTGTCAAAACAGACAAAATTCTGGGGACCCAAAGCTCAGATACTATCAGCAGATTGTCTAGTGAGTGAACAAACAGCATATTCAGAGACCCTCTAAGATGGATCCACAGTAACTAGCTCCAGTCAACAACAGGATTTCTGTGCTGGCAGTGTTGCTGTCTTGTCCATCTACCTCTTTGGATCAGTGTTTGCTCAAGATCTTTGTGCTTCACATATTGTCGGGTGATGGAACTGTCTTTTTCATTTCAGTTATACTCTCACAGTATCTTCTTGTAGCTTACTTTTACACATAACTTGAATAATTTATATTTTTAACCAAGCTATCCCAACCCTTGATCACCCCAGATAGTTGAGTGTTGAGGGCATCAATAAAATTATAATACAGAAATGAAAGTACACTGACTTCTCCATACTCTACTAAGGATAACCAGCTGATCACTACCATATTCTGAAAATAACTACTAACTTACCTATTCAGCTGATGTGGATTGCTTCCAGGCCTACCAAGCCCTGAGTAGAAGACAAGAATTGATAATAAATATGACTCTGGCTGAACCAGAATGAATGGGGGAGCTCAGACAGGCCATCAACTTAATTTTATCTGTGATATCTCCGATTCCAGAAGCTGAAATCACAGCATGGTATATGGGATCTCACCCCAGCCACATGACACATCAGTTCTATTTCCTCCTCCAACACTGTGTCATGGTTCCTGTGATTACTGACTTTCTAACAATTAAGATTTGGAGCAAGGTTTCTTCTTTGACGAAGATTCAGAGCTTCCCATGTCAACATCATGCACTGCAAGTTACACTGAACACTGACAGCAGACTGCCTAAGCATATGCGCACGTCCCTTTGGCCTGACCGATGGCACTGAAAACCCCTGAATGCACTGAGAAATGTGCTAGCCATTAAAATCAACAGTGTCTTTATTGTGTAGCAATAACACATGGAACAAGATAATCATCTGTGTTCTAGAGGAGTGCCATCACTCCCAGAGATGGTTTGAATTGGTCCAACTTGCAGAGTAGAAAATCTGTGAGAAAAAACATCGCACCTCTGAGGGAAACACGGATGTGAAAGGAAAACTTACTTTAAATTGGGAACATTCACAGACATATGTACATGCACACCTAAACCAAGGCTGAATTACAGTAGCTGTCAGCTACTGCTGCCGAACAGAGACTGACTAGGATGCTTCAATTCCAGTTGATGCCTTACTTTTTTGCAGGATTATCTGTGTTACTTCCTTCCTGAAAGCAGCAAAATCTTCACTTCCATCCAAGCACTGAAAAACTAATGCAGTTTCTTGGCACTGAGTCACATATGAGCAGGCAAACTGACATAAAGGCAGATGAATCTCCAACTCTTAGCTGCTCCAGAAGACGTTCCCCTTCTCTTTCACAAAGGGCTGCTTCCAGCCTTTTATTGGATTTGCTTGAACTGGCTCCAATTACAAAAGTCATCTTGTTCTTCCTCCCCAATAATAAAAGCCACACTTCCCTGGCAACTTAAGTGTAAACAGTTTTGAGGCAGAAGAATGAGCTCTAACGCAGAATGTCTTGCAGCTGAAGCTTCAAATAGACAAATTGTAAATACGGTGAATCTGATTAATTAGGAGTCCAGGGGTGGGTGGGAGGAATTTTAGTGTGCCCTTTGGCATAAAACATATCCTCTTAAACTGAAAATTCAGTCAGAAGATTCTTTTTCCCTTTGATAGAAGCACCCAGGTGTAGCACAGCAATTAGTCCCAATACCACGGCTGTGCAGACGAAAGGTGTCTGAACAGGGTTATCCATACAATGAGTTCATTTTTCCTCTCACATTTCTACTGCACTGCTGTAATTCTGTTCAGTTCCATGCAGTCTGGTTTTGCTTTGTTAATTAATATTCTAAAATCAGCTGACCTTCAGAGAAGGTCACAAATTTCTCCAAGCTACCTCTGATGGCTTCTTTGTACAAGGAAAATACACCAAGCAAATACGCACAATTCAGCATTCAGATGGCATGAGAACTGAAACATTCAAAATCAAGTTTGTCACTTGCAGCTGACCTAATGTTCTGAAGCTGGAAGGATTTATATTGGTACTTAATTTCAAACATGAGAATAATCCCCTCAAAACATGAAATGTACTGTGGGAATAGGGACTGATGGTTACTGTTGTGTCACATAGCATGCCTTATGAAAATGCGGGGGATGTTTCTGCGGGGACCACCATTGGCAAATGATAATCTACGTGATTTCAAATTTTATGTTAAATAATAATTTTCATTTTAGAAGAATCTGCTTCTTTTTTTGTAAAACATAAAAAGGCAACTGGCTGCATTACATCTCAGGAACGCCTACCTGTTTACAGCTTCTGCCAACTGGAAATCCTCAATCAGGTGATTAATATCCATGACACAGAAGTCATTGCTACTACATGATTTTATTATATGATTTGCAGACCCGTCCCTACCCTCTGACTATAATAAGCATCAAAACCAACAGTCTGCCACCTAAGCAGCTTGAAAGCATAACTTTTTTCTGCTTGCCAAGTCTGGGACCTGCAGGGAAAGCCAGCAGAATTCAGTCCATTCTAAACTCCTTATTTCTTCTTAGGTTTTTGAAGGATTCAGCAAAAGAATGCTGAAGGCAAGACACTGCTCTTGGCTGATCCAGCTTTACCATGTAAACGCACCTGAGAGATACAGTACAGCTCATCCCTATGGCTGCAAACATGACTTTAAATGCACATCTACAAACTGCACCAATATTAATTAAATGCCATAATACTTATACTACTAAAATAAAAACAGTGTTATGTAAAATAACTTTAAAGTAAGATAAATAATACTCTAAAACCATTCAAATTTTCATAATGGAATTTCAAGGCTGTGAATATGCAGAACACAGGTTAAAACAAATATGAGTCTCATGGTCCATCAGCACTCACCATTCAGCCACTTGGAGTTGTACTGGGCAGTGCGGAGAGGAGGAAGGGCCCCCAGGCTGCGATAAATGGCAGGATCTCTTCCTGGAAAATCCATAGCTGTAGCAGCATATAACTCCCCACTGGAAGTGAGAAGAGCAGTGGAGTTGTGCTGAGGACTGTAAGGACAACGAGCCATGCCACTGATTTGATCATGTATCTCTGTCAAGTTATTTAACTGTAAAAGAGTGAGAAAAAAGGGATTAAAATGATCCAAAAATAATCATTTCAGGCAAGATGCATCAATGTGAGCAAAATCCTATCATAACCACCACTTATCTGATTTGCTATTGCACAACAGTAATGAGCTGACCTTTATATCAATCTGAAACAGTTTCATGTAGAAAGTTTTATTGTAATGTTGTCTGATCTTGTTTTTGCCACTTTGATATGTAAAACGTGCAAGTTACTCAATACCTATCATGCCTAAAATATTTTACATTAGAAGCGACTCAAAAATTCATTATCTCTAAACAGTTTGTTATTATGAAAAAAAAGATCTGTTCACCAGAATCACCTAAGGTATTCACCGCAGGAAATGGTCAGACAATGAAAAATGAAAAAAAAACCCCACTATTATTTGTTTTGTTGGCGTGTTCTAGGAAGGAATATCACATGAAAAATGAAATTAAGAAAATGGAGGTTTCCAGTTCAGCAGAACTATCCATCTGATTTAGTAGTCCTAATGCTTCCTGCCATAAACCACAGTATGATGTGAATATGTTATTTGAAAATAAAGGAAAAATAGGTTTAAATAACGTATTGTTATTATTGTTATTAACCTAAATAACCATTTAAATAACAAATGTGCCAAGGAGTTTTTTGGTGATACAGCTATCCTTTGTTACTTAAAGAACTTCCCCCTCTTGAAATACATTGCCAGCTTAGTTCAAACAGTGAGATTTTGATTTTTATTACAACTATTACTGGTCCTTAATGGACTCTCTTTCTCTGACACACGTAAATTACAACTAGGATTTTTTTTTCAGAAACAGAATGACAGATTTTCTCAACCAAGATTTCTCATTCTTGCCAGTCAGAAATCATTAATACAGGTACTCTCATCTTCCCCAGAACTACACATATGCAGTATGCAGCTACCCAACTACATCATATAACTAAACCAAACTTGGCAGAGAAGTAGTCTTACAAATACCTAAGGATCATGAAAATTGGCATGTGGGTGGACCCGAGCTGCTCGTAGCTGTGCTCTCTCCCACAGCTGAGGAAAAGACTGCATGAAGAGATCATCAGTTAACTCTCCTCTTTGGCCTGCCACTAGCCAAATACGCCTTTTACACACCAGCTCACCCATCGCAAATAGCCTGGACTGAACCGCAGCACGCCCTGCCTTTGATTCTGCTGGCTCAGAACAGCTTGTGGGATGAAACATTTAACTCATACCGTCCGATTGGTGCAGATCGGAGTGAACGCGTTGGTTCCACAGGTAAAGAGATGGTTGCCTCCAACGAGAAGTACTCGAATGTAGTTCTGGCATTCCTCCTGCCATGCAGAAAAAAAGGCTGTATTCAGTGATACTTCAAAGGACAGGGGAGACTAGGGTTTGATTCCATGGTTCTGTGTCCACACATAAAAATTTAGGGGAACAAGGTTTAGGCATATCTGATGTGCTAGGAATCATGATATACACAGATTTCCTATCTACAACACATGCACCCATCAATCTTTGTGAGAATTTCTTAATAGGATAACGATAAACCTCTTCAGTACTGAAGATTTCTTCTAAGAGTATGTTTCAAAGGTTTAGCTAAACTCAGAAGTGAGAGGTGCTGGCTTAAGTAATACAATCCTGTCTCAAGAGATCAGATGCTGGTTTTGAAGACAGATCAGGCCAAGGTAGAAATTTGGGAGGAAAACAGGAGAAAGAACAGGTTGTCAGTAACAGGACTATGTTGAAACTAGTACAAATAAAATTCTTGAGACATTCAGATGCAGATTTGTCACTACTAGTTCCATAAATTGTAACGTATTTTTTATTAGAAGCACCTACATTTCTGTTAATTTGAATTTCTCAAGAAATTTTGTTACCACGATACATAACTGGTCACCTCTGAGGAATAACTTTGCATGTTTTTCACCACATTAGGATGTGTGAAGGCTTTATGATGTTCATTTCTCTCATTTCAGAAGATAGAAACCAACAGTAATTTCTACTGTTTATTCAGACAGAAAGCCTTTTCTGTGAAACTAAATATCTTCCAGAACTGTGTGTAGGAAAGATCCAACTCCTCTGTAAAATCAATGTACCTATGTAATAAAATGAACAAAATCAACAACATAGATGAAATAATGTTTCCTGGAACCTTCCATTTAAGCACTCCCTAGCATCCATTCACAAGATATTTTCATGTAAAACATTAAAAACACTTGTGAAAATACTGCAATGCAATTCTAACAGATAGTAAGTAGAATCACACAAGTAAATCCATGTAATAGTAATGGTGCAGAAGTCCCATTATCTGGCCCTACAGTTATACCGAATGTATTGCTTGTTTATCTTCAAAATAGAGTTTCATCCTCGAAAACAAGAAATAAATTGAACAGGCACATAATATACTGCAAAGCAAGATGGGAAAAATACTTTAAAGATCTCTGAGAAAACTCGTTATTTATTATCTATACCTTTTCGGACACAAAATAAAATAATAAATTAAAAAAAAAAATCCCAAAACCACACACAAACACACCCCTCATCTTCCCCACCATCATGCCCCTACCCTGAACCGTAAAATCTCAGAAAAAAAACACTCTCTGAAAAAATAACCCACAAATCTACATTTGCATTAGTTTCTCATGAAAACATAGCTTTTAACACTTCTCTTTGACCTTTAAAGGTAAGCATCGGATGTCTCAGAATTAAGATTTGATTCCCATTGGGTAAAAATACATCTTTATCTTCAACTCATTAAAACTGTCATTTTAATATTCTTTCAACAAATCAGAAGGTAATATGCAACCATATAACAGTTGGGCAGTGCAAAAAGCCTTTTAAAAAGTAATTATTTTACTTCTGGACCATTTCCCTGTTGCAGGTTGTTTTAACTACACCAAAAAAATGGTAATTCCTCCTTATTATTTTGTGGGATGGGTGCACAGGGAGGTTCATAGAATATAACACTAATTTATTCTTTGGGTTGTTTCCATCCTGCCCTTTGCAGCAAGCCACGGAATGTAAGTGTAGGAAAAATAAGTGGGTACTGACATTACAACCCATCCAACCTCTCCTCTTCATATTCCGGAGCTCCCTGAAATAGTGCCATTGTAAAATGACTTGCATGCTGATCACCCACTCTTTCTGTTCAAAAATAATGTTAATTTTTTTAACTCTGACATTCTGGGGATTCACAAGATTCTTCTCTTTAATGTTCCCAAGTCCTGTGCCCACTTCACAACAATCCTTACTGCAAAATATCTCATAAAAATTTTTTGTTGGGTGCATAGTACGACAAAATCAAAACTGAAAGAACAGCTTGTACAATTGGCTATTTTTTTTATATGAGACGTCCACAACAATACAAAAAGAAAAAAAAATTAAAAACTATAGTCATCAATAAAGTAATTACCTCTCAAGCACACAGAAAAAGGACTCCATTATTTAGTCATTTGAATTGTTCAGAATTACTTTTCTCGCTCTGGAGTCAAGCTCAGATGGTTCACCTCTTAGATGGGCAAGAGAGATGTGTGTTTTAGAAGTGGCATTGGTAAATGCAAAGGATTTCAAAACGAAAGGGTTTTTTTTTAGTTTGGAAGGTGGTGGTAGGTTTGGTGGTCATCTTTTACGTAGTCTTATTCTCCATTTCATCTTGACATCTATGCTATATAGTTTCCTATTCTCCTATAAAAATATCTCTGAAACCAAGAAATTAATTTAGCAAGTACTTTCTACTTTTATATTATCATACCTGAAACAAAATACAACTATAGAAAAAACTCAACAGCCAAGCAGGCTAGGTTGCTACTTAAGTTTAAAATCAACTTGACAATTCAAGGACAATCTAGCTGCATATGGTTACCCATTAACAGTAATTTTTATTGGACAGACTAACGTTTTAAACACAGCTGTGTTTAATTTTTTAATAATTTTATTGAAAGTTTAGATGCTAACAAACACAGCCATTAGAATCTTAAATAAACAAGCAATAAGAGCATTAACTTGTTTTGGTTTTGTTCCCCAATCTCTCTTTGGTTTCTTGTATTTTTACTCTGTGTACTTATATCTTTCCTTTATAGCAGTTCCTACCAAAAGTGCCAGTCTGAATGGCCAAATTTATTCTCTTAACCATGTGTGGTGGTTTAGACTTCTAAATGCTAAAGCATGCTGGCCACAAGGACATAATTTTGTCTGGCCTGCTCCTAGAGTCACTAGTTATTTTAAGCAAAAGCTTAAATTGGTGGATAAATGTCTGAAGTCTCAAGAACAAACATCAGCCTTCAAAAGTCAAGTATGCATTACACTGTCAAATGTGACAGATGTCCTTATATACTTTTCCCCTCAGCTCTTTTCCCTCGTTGGCTCCTAAAGCATAAACCTCAGAACAACTACTGCTAACAGCCAGAGGCAAAAATTCTGTGCAGCTTCTTTCTCAAGAATGGAAAAAAAAAAAGGGTTGTGTTTAACTGACCATTATCTCAAAACTACTACAGTTGCTTCAGGGTTCAAAGCTAGCTTATGGTTTCAGGGCACTCCACCAGCAAACTGACTTGTAGATTGTCTGGCTGAACTCATTGCCCCCATGCTACACTGTGGGTAGCAGAGCTTCCAGAGAAACCAGAATTTGAATGAGTAACTCACCCACAGCCTGCTTTGTAATCCTCATCTCTCCTTCGCCACAGTCTGAGCTGGCCTTGTGTATTTTGTCTCCAATCTTTCCTGTCCCTTCCCTACAATCACACGTGTCTGACCTGAAATCTGAAGTCATCCTGAGAAACATTACAGAACTAGAACTCCCAGCAACTCTCAAATACAACAAGAATCAAACAAGCAGTCCTGATGTCAGTAAGTGGAATTGTGTCTTCCCAGGGATTTCCTTGGAAAAGGGACAATTCACTGTAGCACTGGAGTGCTTTCCTCATCTGCATGCATAAGCGCTCCTTACACAGAAAGTATAGTGACCTTCTTTTAGCCTTGGACATAAGGCAAGAAAAGATAAACATCATTAGGCTACCCTTTCTCTGGCCTTAAGTTTATCCTTTGATTTTAACCTCAATCACACGAGTGAAGGCAAAAGAGGCATGAAAAGGTCAAAAAGCCAGCTGTCATTCCAGCTGGGTAGGTTGCCTCAGTCAATATCTCTGCATTCTCCAGGAATTCTTACATAAAGCTCTCAGGCCACAAAAGCTGCACTCCAAAACGAAAAAAAAAAAAAAGCGCCCTATGGTAGCAATAAGAAAAGAACTATTTCCTCCCAGGATCAACTTTCGATGTAATGAAATATAAGGATTGCACTTCTTTTCCAGCTTGTGAATGAGGAACAAGGCTATAGATACAAACAAAACACTTAATCTTTATCCAACCAGCAACAGTACTAAGAAATAATCTCAGAGGTCATTATTAGAATAGTGTATATACTATTTTACAGTGACAGAATAACTTCCAACCGCCAGGATTCTTCAAATGGGTATGATGAGTATGAATGAAAATCTGCACCTATGTACTACACGAAGGTCCATTCTTAAATGCATTTCACCAGTGTTATTCCTCTTAGCAAAATTATTTAATAGTGACGTAAGCTTCTGCATTGTTGAATTCACTGTGGATTATACTCCACAAACAGTATTGTAAACATAATATTCAAAAGTACACTACTAGAGTCTCAAATTTACCATTACTTTCATCCATGCTGATAGATCACAGTCAGTGCACTGTGACTTTCAGACAAGTTGAGTGCTATTTTCACAGTTTTAAACTTGGAAAATCACTGTAAAAGAGAGGCATAAACTTTTAGTTATGCGTTGCATTCCTACCATGATAGTTTCTACTGCATATGCACCTTGATCAATGAAACCTGTCATATTCTATTGTCAGTTGGGCATGTTCTCTTACTTCGGAGTACTGTCATCTCAAAACTAAGGCTTAAGGCTCAAGGGATATATTACAGGAAGAAGCATAAAACTTCTAGGGAGAAATTGCAAGCTACAAAACGAAACATTTGCTTAAATATGAGGTCCCAGAAGCTCTTTCTTTTCTCTCCATAAACTGACAAGTAAGATTGTAGATCAGAACACTTACCAGATGCCATTTCTGCCATAAAGCCTTCACACACAACTTGAGTCACCACTTTGTCTACCCAAGTTAGAAACCTTTAGGTAAAATCTAACCCATTTCTTTTATCTAGCTATTAATACATGTTGTATTCCTAGGAAATCCTGAAACTTAATAGCTAGCGAACAGCAAGTCTTAAATACAGTTTCCCACACTGGGATGGAAAGAAAGGCAAAAGAGAAGGACAAAGAAGGCAACATCATTCTTAATGTTTTCCCAGTACTCATATCTGCAGTGAAACATGTTCCTCCATGAAGACAATCATCTTCCATGCACTAAGTTTTACAATGCACATTCCCTAGGCTTTTTTTTTTCCCCAAGTAATTCTGTGTTTTTCTCCCCTCAAAGTACAACATGGCCCTGCTTCTAAGTGAGGCCCTTCTTCCTCTTTAATCTCGAACAGAAATGGATGGGCCAAGGCTACACTGCAACATTATTTTCCAACACTTAGTAAAAAAAACCTGGAAATGAACTGCTTAATGGGAGAAGTTAAAAAGTGATAAGAAGACTAAGCAGAAGAAACACCTCTAATAGACAGTAGAAGCATTTGGAATACGTTTCTGAAGATTGGGGCTTTTTTTACATTTTGCACATCAATAACATATGTTGACATGTTCTACTGAATGTGGGTCCTGAAAGCAAGCATACTCTTCTGTAGTTATCGCTCTTGACGTGTTTTCCCTTTATGTTTTAACCCAATTAACTTTAATCATAAAACAGTTTAATAATTACAGACACAGTATAAATGCATTTCTAAGTGCTTTTAGAATTAATTTGATAACTACCTTCAGCTTAGGACAGCCACTAAAGAACAGAGCATCCATACATGTTCCACCTTAGCACTGCACTTACCTGTGCTGAATGAAAGAAATTATAGTTGGCCAGATAAGGAAGTGGTTCTGAACACTAAAAACACATCAAGTCCCATGTCTAAAAAATTAGTGAATTTCATATTATTTTCTCTATTGTGCCAGCAGATATGAAAGATGAATGTTCTTACAATTGCCTCTAATACACAGAGAAATAAATTGTGGATTTTATGAAGTAATTACACAGTTATTTGGGATTTACAGCACTGAAAATGAAGTGAGAATACAGCCCATTACGTATGACATGTTGTAGAGTCAAAACAGTAAATTGTTGGTAACAAGTTATTGATCATTTCAGAAAATAATCACATGACTGTACCACTCAATCCACACTCCCTGTGTTGTTTTTTATTCCTTTGCTTATACATCAGTGTCAGACTCCTTTCCTACAACTCTTCGGAAAGGGAGACAGTAAAAATGCATAGGGTAGGCATTTATACACTGAATTACACCTGCTATTAACATATAAATTGTATTAAAACGAAACAGCTATCTCAGGCTTACCTTTGATTTGCCTTTACTGTAACAGGATCTTTTAGTAGCTTCATCACATTGCCATTCCACTGCCTGCAACCAACAGGAATTAGTTAGAAATGCAGGGAACACAGAAATATAAACCTCAGAGCTATCTAAACCCATGATTGAGAGATGCGCTTCAGGCATACTGATGATTAGCTGTGGGTGATTCTACCCATAATCGCCTTACAAGCTTTTTCTCCTTAGAAATGTAGTTTTGCTGCTGATGGGTTTTCACTGTCTTAATCCAAAGTAAAGCTGGTCATCCCTGTGATTCGCCGTACCTACCGCTACAGGAGAAATAACCGCAATCACCTTTGATGCTAGTTAGCCACTTTTGTATGAGTCTTATTAAGGTAAGCAGTTAGGAAGACGGGGAAAGGACGACCCTCTCTCCGCAGCACAAGTTGGTCTGCATCAACACCGCAGATGTTGATGTTGGTCAGCTCTGCTGAGAGATCTTGCGCCACAGGAAAATGTGCCCCATTGCTGGTTTTGCAGTATTTATCTCAAGCATCAAATGGAGATTTTAGTTTCTCCCAACACCGCTTCTGAGGTCAGCTCTGCTGAGAGATTTTGCGCCATAGGAAAATGTGCCCCATTGCTGGTTTTGCAGTATTTATCTCAAGCATCAAATGGAGATTTTAGTTTCTCCAGGTATATCTGCAGCACCAATCAGAAGGACTAAATCATCCAGAGAAAGGAGCAATGGGTAGACACAAACAAGACAACAGTGAAATGGAACACTGTGAAGCAAAAGCAATTTATCCTCATTTTTGAGCTGTCTCTCTGCTTCAACAGATTTATGCCAGGACTGTAACGCCTAGTCTGCACTACTACATTTTCACTGCATGAGTTAACTCCAATTATTTCCATATTTAACATTCAACAGCTATGACTTACAAACTTTATTGTTCAGTGGAGCAGGTTGTGTGCTTGGTGGTTATGTCCCAGTACACGTCCCTGTTTGAACGCCTGCATATGCTGCGTAGTCAGAGTCCATTTTAAATAGTTCTGCATTCTTTCCCCTCAACAGTGCACATCTGTGAGTTCTTTAGATAAAAAATGCCACAAGGCACTATAACATTTTATCAGGAAGAATTGAGATTTCTAAACTAATCACTGCTGCTTAATTATTGAAACCACAGCTTCTTCATTTTCATTTACCAGGTAATAATGAAAGACCATTCATTCAGATTTAATACAGGCAATTTTTTGTACCTGTCTTTTAATGGAGACTATATTAATAGCAAGTAGACTCTATAATTAATAAAAATAATAGGGTGAAAGCGTATTCAAACTAAAGGGGAAAATGCTATACCATGCAGTACTCCTTGATTTGTGTTTCAACAAGCCCAAGAATGAGCTTTTTCATTTCAGAGGAACAAAGACTAATAAAAACTAATGCCATTATTTCTCTTTCTTCACCCCAAACCTTTTCATTTACAGTGTTTGCTTTTGCAGATACATGTGCATAGCCTATTGGGGAATATATTGAAAACTTCTGGAAGAATCTAGTTTGAGTGACCCTAGCATTTATATCAAACTGTATCCAGCAGCACAAAAGAAATCTTGTAGTGAATTACATAAAAAAGCAGCAGTTTGTTAGACAAAGAAGCAGCAATGACTTAACTCTGTTGACTGTGTAATGCAAAAAGCAATTTACATCCATAACAGAGATCACAGTAGAAAAGACTGCTCTTGGACGATCAGTGTAAGTTCCTAATCAATCCGTTAGGACAACCTGAACCTATAGGTTGTATGGAACCAGATACAAATATCTGATACTGAATGTATTATCTTTAAACAGCACAAAATATTACAAATACCTGGAGAAACCAGTTACCAGAAACAAGAGTTACCAGTAGGCGATCATAGTAAAAAGATTTAGTGGAATGTTGGTGCTTAAAAGGAAGGGTTGAAGGAAAGTTCTTGCCAAAACTGAACTGAGAAGAAAATGCCAAGCATCAATAGCAGGAAGTAATAAGACAGAAAGATTGGGTTAAAGATAAAAAGTTTATCAATACATCAATTTTCAGTGACAAAATACCCAGCACTCGATTGGCTGTAATTCCACAGTAAAAGAGGAATTTGAAGGAGAAGAATGTGAAATGCAAAAAATTACACAATATCACAAGTCAAGGAAATTAAGTACGTTTCTCAGCCACGTTTTGGAAAAGAAAATCAACAGACTTTGGAGATGGGAAATTCAGGAGCCAAAAGTGACAGTTCTTCAAGCTTTCCATGAAACCTGAGAAAAGCATAGAATGCATCCCTGCAAGCAGATCATGGTTGGAGAATCTGGCGCATAATAAAATTTAGGGCAAGTCAGGTAGAAACTTTATTAACTCTGGTCATAGTGAGGGAATTTGGGACAGCTCCCTCTGCTCCCCTGTTCTCTGCCAAGTGGTCTCTGTCAGGAGACCTAGCCTATACACTGTTGCAGAAAGAAAGGAAGAGGTGAAGAAAAACAGTAATTTCAGTATTAGCAAAGCCAGGTATTCAACCCTGGGAGGGATGGACTCCTTAAGGAGCTTGCTAACTGCCACACTTCTACAAAGGAATCAAACAGAAAATAACATGACGGTATAGAGAAATGGCTCTTTGTGGAGCCTGTAGGAGCAGCACATCCCCTGCTACCATAGTTCAAAATTGTTGAGTTGGAAAAAGATCACAGTTTTCCTTTAGTCAAATGTTCTTTTAGTTAGGATAAACTTCTTAGCTAGACCTCTCAAATCTTAAATATTAACAATTTTACCACCACATCATAAAATCACTAATACCACTATTAGCATAACTGAAAATAAACTTTCTTGTCTGTCTGTGACATCCACAAAATGCATAGTTTTAAATAACAATATTATATATTAAACCATAACCTAAGATTTCTGGATACCAGAGTTAACAACACATACAAGAACCTAAATAAACTACTGTAACTGTATATAAATACATATGCTTGCAAACTAACCACATGGCAAACTCTGTGGGAAAACCCTGTTCATGACCACATATGCCAAAGGAGTAATATTGTCTAGACAAGAAGTAGGTGCAGACACAATGGTGACAAAGCTGAGTGCCACCTTTGAAATGAAGTGTACTTCCAGTCCTACAGCCCTGGGTTCCACTGCTGGAGGAGACAATAAGACAGCAGGCTGCAAATTAAGTATATTACAAAGGCTTCTGAAGAGCACTGAATAGTTCAGGCTGTTGTGATTTGGTCCCTAAGGCTCCTGCATAGTTCAGTAATGAATACATATGTACTAGTGCTGATTAAATGAAAAAAGCAGCTATAGACAAACATTTCTACATGTAGCTAATCTTTTTTTTCTTCTAATCTTCAGGTTATTTGGGGGAGTTTCCCACAGAATGGAAATGTAGATATTCAGCACAGCCTACCGGAAATATAGAGAGGGAAGACATGTGGAAAACTCCTCAAGTTAAATGTCATTTCAATATGGAAAAAAGAGTAGAAAAATGTGTCCTGAATCGTCAGAACATAAATGCAAAACAGAATCATAATAATATGTTTTTTTGACAGTAAAGATTAAGACTTTAAAGTTTTAATTCTGAAAGACCAGGACACATACAAATTGTCTTATTTTAAAAAGCAAGAACAAACCCAGGTTTACTTAAAGATGTTACTGTTACCCACTGCTTGTGTTAAATTGACATACTCTCCTGCTTGATGCCATTTGTTAATACTTCCCTAAAGTTCAGATGAGCAGTGCAAATATGATATGCACACCTGTTGGATATTTGATTCACGATGAAGGGCTACAGGGCTAAATTTGATCCTGTTAGCATCTTTGCTTTCCCACATTTCTTAAAAAGAAACCTCAATTTTCACACAGCAAAATACAACCTTCAGCATGACGTGTATTTCTTTTAATTAATACTATACTTCTACTTAAGCTGGCAACAAAAATTATTGAACCAAATTATAGACACTCAAGTTTGTTTACTCTGGGGAAAGAGGAAACAGGGATTTGAACGTTATTGCTACAGAAAACAACGACATGTAGTACATCAGCTACTGCTATGCATCTCCACAAAGAACCCAGCTGCACAGGTTAAGGTTTAAGTAGGGTTTAAGGTAGCACATTAATTTGCTGCTGATAGGAAGCTGACACTACAGTGGCATGGTTTTTACAAATCCTGCTGTCAATCTAGTCCTTCAAGCACCTCTACAAATTTAGTGCCTTGGCTTAGTTTTTTTTCTAATTTTACTATCTTCAGCATAACTACATTGTAGTAGACATAAATAAACCTTAATTATGGCACAGTCACCAGTAGAGCAGTGCAAAATATATGCAGTGGCGTTTTTAGCTCTGTGAAAGTCGGTGTGGCCAACTACAAAGACTGAACTGACAGGTACAACTTGAACTTGACCCGGTGTACTCTGATGAGGAAGTCACAGTTCACTTCTGAATGTGTATTGGTTTTTTCAATTAAGGAAAATACACAGACCACAAAGCTCCATCAGATCTGACATAAAATCAGACTGAATAGAAAGAAGGCTGTGGTGCACACTTGACTTCTAAGTTTGAACTCAAGTTTCAAACCGATGGCAGGCATCTTTTTGGAAAAGCTCAACTGTAAGTCAGTGTTTTACACATTACATCACTGATGTTTATAAAGTGAGACAAAAACTTCACAAGAAATTTCTCCTGGCATTTTCAAGGAGGTAGTGGGAGGAGAGAAATTCCAGCCAGAGAAGAAACAAATTCCAACTCAACCTATATAATGAAACTATTATCTTCAAAATGAAGAAAAATATACATTCAACACTCATTTATGTTACATAAAATATTACGGTATTAAAATGAATCATATTCTTTGGAACAACAAATATATTTCATTAATTTCTCTGGATGAATGATAAAGATAATATTCTTGTTTAAAAGATAAATTATTGTGTCTTCATCAGGCAAATTAAATTAATATGAATATATTAATTCCAACGGAAAATCCCCAATCTAAACTGATTTATCCAAATACCTTAGAAGGACACTAAAAGAATCACGGCAAGTATAGAAGCCATGAATAAT